AAGAAAGGGTATATAGAGATAAATGATCTTCAAATAAAACGGGGTTCGAAGACTTTCTGGCAAAAACATATAGATACGTTGCCAACATATTGTTTAAAACTTTTATCCTGCCATGTCTGGAATCAACTAGTTTTGCATTTATGGCAACAAAATCTTATTATACTCTGCAAAAAACAAAGCGAGTAAAGTTGCTCTTCCCATCATTCCAATGTAGTCCAAGTCCAGTTTTTTAAAATTATTAACATTGGCGCCCAATTATTGATATTATACCGTCGTCTCCCAAAAAATTCAATATTAATATAGATTTTGACATATCGCCCAAATGATTGATTTTTCCACTTTAAGTAACATTTTCCCACCCGACTTCTATACAAGTGGCGCAAATAAATGATAAATATATGAAAGTATCTGTGGCATTTGTGTTTCTAACTGCATTCAACTAGCTACTCATGCTGTGACTAAGTTTTGCAGATTTTTTTTGTTTTTATAGGTAAAATGTTTCAATGTTTTCTTTTGACATTGTCGGTTATCAAAATCTGTTAATTGTTTTCTTATAAAAAATAAGGACAGTATTTCAATTCAGGGCAAAAGTGTCTCAAAATAATTTGATATTTAGGATGATGTTGTTCCCGATGGGGAAATAACCTAAATTTGTAAAAAAATTGAATTATTGGCGTAGATTTGATACATTTTTGACATTCTGTAAGATTTCTAGCAGAATTCAGTGCATTTATAGAATAGATTTTTATATATCCACTATGAAAGGGCCAACTTTTAAAATCCTATTTTGAACTGGTGCTCTAGAAAATTACATTAAATGGCATTTCTGGGGATGGTTTCTTGTTATATTGGGAATCTGTGTAAGTATATCATACCATCTATAATTCAAATAACATTGCTCTATAGTGTATGATATGACTTCGATAAGGATTATATTAAAAAACTATTTATTGGAGCAATAGATGTACCGCACCGGTTTTCACCAAATGCATAATTTCGGCTAATAATACATATGTGGTCACCAATAAATGTAAAATCGGATGAAGATGTATATCGAAGGTATATAAAAATCTGAACCAATCACGATAAAATTTGGCAGAGATATTTTCAAGCTGTATCCGCTGTTCGGTATGAAATATCCTTGTTATGGAGTGCATATTGCTCATTTGAGGCACTTTTATCGGATGAAATATATATGAGGGAGCTATAACTATATCTGAACCTATTGTCTACAAATAAAATCGGATAAAGATATATATGGGAGCTATATCGAAATCTGAACCGATCTTGATTTTAGGCACTTATTTTTCAGCTATAGCAGATATCTTGAACCAAAGATCATTGTTGTGGACTGCATATTACGCATGTGAGGGACTTACAACCCCAAGCATATATAATGAAACGTATATATGGGAGCTATATCTGAACCGATTTTCACCAAAATTTGGAGCACTTTATCCTAGAAGGAATTCAGTCGGAATTGCCAAGACTCAGGGCATTTCGACTGATATTAGCCATTTGGTGCACAATTAACCTGAAATCGGTTGAAGATATATATGGGAACTATATCCAAATCTGAGTCGATCTTGACACAATTTGGCGGAGGTATTTCCGGGCCGTATCTGATGTCTGATATCAAATATCATTCTTGTGGGGTGCATATTATGAATGTGGGGGACTTAAAAATCAAATTGGATGAAACATATATATGGGAACTATAGCTATATCTGAACCGATTTTCGTCAAGGGAATTGCTTCAGGGCTGAATTTCATCGGTACTGCTAAAATTCATTCCCTTTTGGATACACAATAAACCTGATATCGGATAAAGTAATATATGGGAGATACATAAAAAAACTGAACCGATCTTGACAACATTTTAGGCACTTATTTCTGAGTGGGGTGCATATTACGCGTGTAAGGGACTTAATACCCCAAATCGGATGAAACATATATATGGGAGGTATAGCTATATCTGAACAGATTTTCACCAAAATTTTGAAGCACTTATTCCAAGGATGAATTCAGTCGGAATTGCCGAAATTCACTCCATTTGGGTGCACAATAAATCTGAAACCGGATAAATATATTTATGGGAGCTTTATTAAAAAATCTGATCCGATCTCGATGAAATTTTAAAGAGGTATTTCTGGGATATATCTGATATCTGGTACCAAATATCATTCTTGTGGAGTGGATATTACGCGTGTGAGTTACTTTAAGCTCCAAATCGGATAAAAAATGTATATGGGAGCTATAGCTATATTTGAACCGATTTACACCAAAATTTGAAGTACTTGCTTTTAGGCTGAATTCCGTCGGAAGTGCCAAGATTCAGTTCATTTGGGCTGATATTAGTCATTTTATGTCCAATAAACTTGAAATCGAGGAAAGATATATATGGGAGCTATATCCAAATCTGATCCGATCTCGACAAAATCTGACAGAAGTATTTCTGGGCTGTATCTGATATCTTGTACCAAAAACCATTCTTGTGGAGTGCATTTTACGCATGGGAGGGACTTTAACACCAAATCGGATGAAACATTTATATGGGAGGTCCGGGAGGTATCCGAACCGATTTTCACCAAAATTTCAAGTACTTACTTTTAGGCTGAATTCCGTCGGAAGTGCCAAGATTAAGTTCATTTGGGCTGATATTAGCCATTTGGAGCACAATAAACCTGATATCAGATAAAGATATACATGGAAGCTATATCCAAATTTTCTCCGATCTCGATAAAATTTAAAGGAGGTATTTCTCGACTATATCTGATATCTGGTATCAAATATCATTCTTGTGAAGTGCATATTACGCATGTGAGGGACTTAAAATCCCAAATCGGATGAAACATATATTCGGGAGCAATATCTGTATCTGAATCGATTTTCGAAAATTTTGATATATTTGGTTCATTGTGTGCACAATTAACACGAAATCGGTTGAAGATATCTATGGGAGATGTACCTAAATTTGAACCGATTCTCACAAATTTTAATAGGGAATCAATCCTATAATAAATGCGACTTAAATTTCGCATTTTATGACCGTTTAGTTATTTAAAATTCTGACCCCTTTGTGGGCAGTTACTAGAAGGTGTAGTCCGATATCTACCATCTTCAAACCAGATCTTGTCTTGGTAGAAATATTGAGATGTGCGAAATTATATCGAATTCTTATTTCATATTTTATGAGCGTTTCGGTTATTCAAAATGTTAACCCTTTGTGGGGGAGGTACTAGAAGGAGTTGGCCGATAGGCATCGTCTTAACCCCAGATCTTGTATTAGTTGAAATATTGCAATGTATGAACCTAAGAATGAACCGGATGCTTATTTCGCATTTTATTGGAGATATAATTATTAAAAAAATAATAATAAAATAAATAAATAAAATAAAATAAAATAAATAAATAATAATAATTAAAAATTTACCCATTTTAGGGGAGGTACCAGAAGTAGTGGACCGATACATTCCATCTTCTCACCAGATCTTGTGTTGATAGAAATATTGAGATGTGTGAAGAAAACAGGACATATATTTCATATTTTATAAGCGTTGAAATAATTCCAAATTTTGATCCTTTGTTTGGCAGGTAGTTGGTGAAGTGGGCATATATTGTCCATTTTCGAACAAATATATTAGGATTTTCCAATTTCGAGCGAAATCGGTTGAGCCTTCTCTTTTAGGAGGTACATTATTTTCTCTAAAAATGTTTACTTTTTGTGTGGGAATTACCAGAAGAAGTGGTCAGATATATTCCATCTTCACGCCAGATCCCATCCATTTTGTGAGCTACATGGTTATTCAAAATTTTTACCCGTTGTGGAGAGGTACCAGAAAGAGTGGACCGATGCATGCCATTTTTAAATCAGATCTTGATTTGATTGAAGTATTGACATGTGCGAAGCTTGCACACAGTCGGACTTCTATTTCACATTTTATAAGTGTTATAATTATTCCAAATTTCAGCCCATTGTGAGGTAGGTACTTGATAGAGTGAACAAACATTGTTTATTTTCGCACCAGACCTAGCAGTAACAAAAATATTGGGATTTGCAGTTTGAGCAAAATTGGTTGAATCTTCTCGTTTTGGGAGGTAAATAATTTTTTTTTTTTTTGAAAATTTTAATTTTTTGAATGGGAGGTGCAAGAAGGAGTGAACCAATGTTACCCATCTCCGAACTCGATCTAAGTTTGACAATAATATTACGATGTACCAAGTTTGAATCAAATCGTATGCTAACTTCTGACAGACGAATGGACTGACTCCTTTAGATCGACTCCAATTATCTTGAAACGGATTTGGTCCAAAGAGACATAGGATCTTAAACTGTTACTTCGATCAAGTACGTTTTAGCCTTATCAAATGTTATATACACTCTGTGGCCATATGACTGAGGGTATAAAAAATATCAAATGAAAAATGTTATAAAGGAAATATATACCAATTCCTATCAAAGAACAAGAATCCAGTCCTGAATTGATTTTCAACACAGTGGATCGCACTTGGAGTAACCCTATCATCAAAATTCCAGCAATACCTTACCTCTCATGGATTCTCACTGTGCTTCGTTTTGAGTTCAAAATGTCTTTGGACTTCATTTGCAATGACTAAGTGTTATTGAATCATCCTTTCCACTCCTTCACCTCACAAATTCTTCCACCCACTGTGCCATATTTTTTTCTTCTTTGAGAATAATTTTTATTATCATGTCTGCATGCCAATCTTTTTTAATGGAACTTTTTAATTTTCTCTATCTTTTTGACGTTTCACATGATTTGTTGTTTTGTTTGTGACACCTTACCACAATTGTCGTTGTTGTTGTTATTGAAACACACTCGAACTCGAGATTTTTATCATCAAATTGCACTGTTCTCCATCAAACCAACGATTGATTCTTTTAGTTTTTTTTTTTTTTTTTGAGCTGGCGCAGATGAAATTCTTCTGGGAATTTGATTTTGAAAATGTATCGAATTTTTTAGTTTTACTTTAACGTTTTCGGGGTTTAAATGTGATCGGGCCTTTTTGGCGAAATTTTACTTTTTTACATAATTACATAATTGCAAGTAAAATATTAAAAACACAATAAAAGTAATATATAAAATAATTGACAATAATAACAATGACAACAAATGAATGGAAATTATTACTATTTATTACAATTGGAATTTTAATACCAACAGTGAAAGGTGAGATGAGAAGAGTTGTTAATTTGTGTGCAGATTGCTGAACTGATATGGACCCTAAGTGCGAATAGAGTTATACGATGAACAACTTTGAAATTATCTTCCAAAAAAGTATCGGCTACAAATGTTGCTATGCGGACCCTGTCAAAATTCGAAGAAAAACAAGTAAAAAAGCTGTAAGTTCGGCTGGGGCGAAATTTGAACACCCTCCACCATTTGCAACAAAATTTTAAATTTTCAAAAAAAAAAATAATAATAATAAATAAAAATAGAAATCCGTTAACAATTCTGTTAAAATCTTAAGAATGCAGAATTTAGGAAGTTACCCTTATATTGGCGACATCAAAATACCGAATATAGGAAGGTAGCTATAGGTAGGGGGTCGTCAAAAACATCAAAATACTGGGGAGGTATGTTATATGGGGGAGGTACTGTTACCGATTTTACGGTTATTTCCGACATATATGCAATTTGAATAGATTTTTTGTTTTTGTTGGTTGAAATAAAGAGAGGTGTGAAATGTGAAGGGAGTCGGATGCTTATTTCGGATGTTACAATCCTTTTGGTTATTCATAACTTTGACGATTTGTGGGGGAGATACCAGAAGAAATGGTCCGATCTCTACCACGTTTGAAACATATCTTGTGTTAATGGAAATATTGAGATGTGCCAAAGATTATTGGAATCGGATGTTAACTTCGCATTTTATGAGTTTCATGGATATTTAAAATTTTGAACTTTTATGGGGGAGGTACAAGAAGGAGTGGACCGATATATTACATCTTTACATCAGACCTTGGGTTAATAAAAATATTATGATGTGTAAAATATGCAGAGAACTAGATGCTTACTTCGGATTTAATAACCGTTTTGTTTTTCAAAACTTTGACCATTTGCGGGGAGAGGTACCAAAAGGTATGGACCAATCTCTATTATATTTATAACAGATCTTGTGTTGATAGAAATATTGAGATATGCCAATCTAAATGGAATCGGATGTTAATTTTGTGTTTTTTAAGCTTCATGGATATTCAAAATTTTGACCCTTTATGGGGGAGTGACCAAAGGAGTGGTCCGATACATTCCATCTTCACACGGTAAATAAAAATATTGTGATGTGTGTAATTTGAAGATAATCGAACTCTTATATCACAATTTATAAGAGTTTTAATTATTCACAATGTTGACCCTTTGTGGTGGAAGTACTTGATGGAGTGGACCAATACTGTCCATTTTCGCATCTGACCTAGCACTAATGCAAATATTAGGATTTGCAAAGTTGGAGTAAAATCGGTTTATCTTTTCTCTTTCGAACTTTTGTGGAGGAGGTACCAGAAGGAGTAAATCGATGTATTCCATCTTAACACCAGACCTTGGGTTGCTAAAAATATTGGAAAGTGTGAATTTTGAATATAATAGGACACTTGCATCACATTTTATAAGAGTTGTAATTATTCAAAATTTTGACCTTTTGTGAGGAGGTAATTGATGGGGTAGACCGATATTGTCCATTTTCGCACCTGACCTAGAACTCACGCAAATATTAGGATTTGCAATATTGTCGATTTTCACACCTGACCTAGAACTCACGTAAATATTAGGATTTGCAAAGTTGGAGCAAAATAGGATTATCGGTTCTCTTTCTGTGCAGAATATATATTTCTTTTAAAATTTCGTTCTTTTGTGGAGGATGTACCAGAAGGAAGTGGATCGATATTGCCCATCTCTAAACTGGATCTAAGTTTGTCAAAATTATTACGATGTACTAAGTTTGGACCAAATCTGATACTCCCTTCGAGAGTTATCATGCTCACTAGCCAGTCAGACGAATGGACATCGCTAGATCGACTCCAAATGTCCTGAAACGGATTTGGTCCAAAGAGACCTAGGGTCTAAAACCGTTTTTTCGATGAAGCACATTTTGGCCGTATTAAATGCAATATACCCTCTATAGCCTCTCTCTATATGAAGACCCCTTCTGATGACTCGCTTGAAAGTTAAAAACAAATTGTGTCTGGTATTTACTCGACAATATTTCCCAAGATACTAAATGAACGGATTCCGAGGAATCTAAATCTAAAAATTTCCAAAAATGCTGAAGAGGGTAGAACTTTCCCCCTATATTTCCAATATGTATGTCTTACAGAATTGTCTTTCATAACCTACTGAATGTTATCATTTACCTTCATTTAATTTGGAATTATTCTCCACTTCTCTTCAAACTTGGCACAGTGCAGTAGTGGGATACATATAGACCCAAAAAGAGCTTACAAAAATTAATAGTCATATTCTAAGCTTATAAATATGATTTCAAAGAATTGTCATTAAGTGTTGACATTTTAGTTAGTCTCCCGTTCTGTTAGCTTCTGGGGAGACTTGCTCTCTCAGTGTGATTTTGAAATTTTTCATTTTTTCTAGACGTAGGCTATTCTGGGGAGCGGTAACAAATCTAAATAAGTACAAAAAGAAATAAATATCAGACACATATATTTATTTCCCAATTAGATCAGTTAATATTCGAAATAAATTTTAGTGAAGACAGGTCAGTAACATTGACGTCAATAGCATTTTAGCCCTTGTCACAGCTAAATATTTGAACGCCAGTGACAGCAGATATTTATTTAACGGAAGTCGAAAATAATCGTTTATTAAGTTTTTGTTGAATAGACATGGAGACGTATCAACAGCATGGTGAGAGAGGAGAAAAAGTGAAAACTCCACTTTTTTGTCTCGAAAAAAATTTTGAATGGGATGTGCTTAGTCTCATGGCTTGTCAATGGGAAACCATTCTAAGTGGATAAAATTAGCGCATTTTCAAATAAATCTCTTTTTTTTCTCAATAATGGAGTTAGTACTTTTGTACTCTCCGGTACATTAAATGCTTTCCGGGAAGTTCAAAAGGTTCGTAGATAAAAGTGTAACATGTGTAGATTCATATGAGTAGTGATAAGATAACCACGACTATCGATACGGTATTTGTTCATCGAATCATGGGGAATATCTGTCTGCACACCGAGGGCTGGGTTGGTGATATATTGTTGACCTTGTCACAGAGAAGAAAAGATAATTATACCCTACAACACTATGTGTTGGGGGTATTATAAGTTTGATTGGGCCAAAAATTATGTAACACCACGAAATATTGATTTCCCACATAGGAAAGTATATATGGATCTTCCTAGCTCGCCGAGCTGAGTCGATCTAGCTATGTATGTCCGTCCGTCCGTCTGTCCGTCTGTCCATGTTAATTTGTAATCACTCTACAGGTCGCAATTATGGTCCGATCTTCACGAAATTTAGAATGGAGGTGGGGCTAGGGTCAGAATAGAACCCTATTTCTTTTGGAGATGATCGCCAAATGTTTAGGGGTTGAAATGGACCAAATACTGAAAAAATGTCGGATTTTGCAGTAGCTATACAGGTCGCAATTATAGACCAATCGACGCGGAATTTCGCATGTAGCTAGAGTTTAGGGCGGGGAAGAAGCCTACCAATTTGGGTGGTCATCGAATAATATTTAGCGGGTAAAATAGGCCATATCTTTTTTGTTGAAAAAATTCAAAATATTTCATAAAACCGCGAATATTTTAAATCCCGGCGAAATCACAAAGCCATGACAAGGTTACTTCTGATCTTTACATTCATGTTAACATCCAACAAATCGGATATATAGCAAAATATGTGCGATATATATGTCTATCAAAGAAGATATGCTTGAAAGATCTCTTATATGTCGAGAACGGCTGAACTGATTTCGACAGTTCTCATTAATTCAGAATGGCCTCTTGGCAGGAAAGAAAAAACGTCCAAAAAATCGCATAAAAATATCTCTCTAAAGATGAAAATATTGATTTAGTAAAATTTTCTCATATTTTTTCAATTTTGTCATTGAATTTGAATTAAACATTTGGTAATATTTCTACAGCTAACAAAACTAAGTAGTTAGGATATCAGGATATCATATACAGATCGCATTTATGGTCCGATCCTTACGAAATTTTGCATGGGTATAAGATGAGGGTCAGAATTGAAGCCTACTCTTTTTGGAGATGATCGCCATATATTTAGGGGTTGAAATGGACCAAAAAACTGCAAAATTGTCAGCAGGTCGTAATTATCGCCCGATCTTCACGCACATTTGAATGGGGGTTACCGCACATTGCAAAAGCCAAGCAGTTTCTAATGGCCATCCAAAAATATTCAATGTGTGAAATAGTTTGCCAACTTTTGTAGACAAAATACGAAAATGACCATTCCAGTGACTTTTTGGAGAATTCACAAATTTCACGAGAATTCTTCACGTTGAAGAATATAGTCAAATGTCTGTATCTCATATAGATGCGTTTCAGTCAAAACCCAATAATAAATGTTAATATTTTGCCACTTCTGAGAGATTATAGGTCTTTGGGCAATATTGGTTCCATATCTAGGAAGACCATTTACGTGCAACATCTACCAATAAATTGGAAATGAGCAAATTAGTTTAAGTTGTTATTTTTCGAAAATTAGAGAACGAAACCTGATTGTTTTCTTTAATTTTTTGTCACAATATCTTGTGGAATTCTGTCGAGCATTTCGCCTATGTAAACTGTATGGTTTATTATAGTGTTGTAGGGTATTCAATGGTCGGCCCCGCTCGACTGTAGCCTTTGCTTACTTGTTTTTGTTTTTTTTTATACTCTGAGGGTATATATCATTTGATAGGGGCAAAATGTACCTCATCGAAATAACCCCAGGCCTCTTTGGGCCAAATCCGTTTCAGAACATTTGGAGTCCGGTTGGTGTGCACGATAATTTTCGAGGGTATATCCGATTTGGTACAAATCTGTTACATCGTAAAGTTATTCTATATATCTATATTGATGAAAGAGTAAAGTACAGGGTGACATAAAAAAGTAAACTGCAACGAAGTCAAACGCCATAATTTTTACATTTTTTTTGTTAAATTTTATTGAATGAAAGCAACAAATGTCGGAAATAACATCATATTTTAGATTAAGATA